ATCAAATAAATCTGAAAAAAAGATATGTTATGGAGAAAAATAAATTAAATAAGATTCGGCTGAGCATTACATCCGAATTCCTCACCAAATTTCAAATAAAATACGGAAAACAAATACTAATACTAATAATAAAAATAAATAAAAATAAAATACGGAAAACAAATATTAATAATAAAAATAAATAAAAATAAAATACGGAAAACAAATACTAATAATAAAAATAAATAAAAATAAAAAGAGGATTAAATTTAGTAAGTGCGCGAGCATATTTTCGAGACGGCCATCCTTGGCAATTTTTCATTTTTATTTGGCATAGCTAAATGCCTTGAAAATTTACAGATATGTACTTCACATAATACAAAACCCACTAAAAAAGTTTCAAAAAATAATAAAATTGTTTAGACCCCGAAGTAAAGTGAAAACAAAAAGTAAAAAGTGGAAAAATACGTGGGCGAGCACGTTTTGACACCGCCATCTTTGGTGATTTTGAATTCTTATTTGGCTTAGTCAAACGGCTTGAAAATTTACAGGCATGTACCTCACGTCATAGAGAACTCACAAAAAAACAATTCAGAAAAAAATAATTATATTTAGCCCCCAAAATAAGTTTTGGCGGGGGCCGAACACTCTCCGGGGACCTCCGTACGTACGGGCGTTTGGGGTTCTGTACGGGGTCCGAACGTACACATGTTATGGAGAAAAAGAAATTTAGTGAGTGCGCGAACATGTTTTTGACACCGCCATCTTGGGCGATTTTTCATTTTTTTTTGGCATAGCTAAATGCCCTGAAAATTTACAGATGTGTACTTCACATACTACAAAACCCAGTAAAAAAGTTTCAAAAAATAATAAAATTGTTTAAATCCCGAACTAAAGTGAGAACAAAAAGTAAAAAGTGAAAAAATACGTGGGCGAGCTCGCTTTGACACCGCATTTTGGCGATTTTGAATTCTTATTTACCTTTGTCAAACAACTTGAAAATTTACAGGTATGTACCTCACGTCATAGAGAACGTACAAAACAAAACTTAGAAAAAAATAATTATTTTTAGGCCCCGAAATAAGTTTTGGCGGGGGCCGAACACTGTCGGGTTCGGACCCCGAACGCCTGTACGTACGGAGGTCTGCCCGGGGACCTCCGTACGTACGGGCTGGTGACCCTGTATATATGTATATTGTGTGAAGCCAAAAAATAATGAAAAATCGGCAAAGATGGTGGTGTCAAAACTAGCTTGCCCACTTACCAATTTGTTTTTCTCTTTTCACTTTTTGTTTTCCTTTTATTTCGGGGCATGAAAAAAATTATTATTTTTTCAAAATTTATTTATAGGTTCTGTATGATGTAAGATACATATGTATAAAATTTCATGGCATTTGACAAAGCGAAAAAAAAAATAAAAAATCGCCAAAGATGGCGATGTCAAAAATGCCCGAGCCCACGCAATAATTTCATTCTGTTTTTTTTTTTCTTATTTTCAGTAATATTATTTATTTTTTGTATTTGATTTTTATTTCAAATTTGGTAACGAATTTGGATGTACTGTTGAGGTAAAAGTTGTTTAGTTTATTCTTCTACATCACATCTATGTTTTTCATATTTTT